AAAAAAAAAAAAAAAAAAAAAAAAAAAAAAGAGAGAGAGAGAGACAGGGTCTCACTATATAACCCTGGTTGTCTGGGAACTTATTCTGCAGACCAGGCTGGTCTCGAACTCACAGAGATCTGCCTGCTTCTGCCACCTGCCTAGCTCACTCTTTTTTATTCAGAGACAGGGTCTCACTGAGTTGTGGAGATTGACCCTCAACTCCTCTGCAGCCTGGGCAGACCTGGATCCTTCCCTCTCTCTGCTTGAGCCGTCTAATCACTAGGCTGTAAGGCTATACCACCAGGCCCGGCAGTTACCTCATAACTTATTTTAAAAAGCAAACAACAAAACTAATAAGGGGGATTGATCATGGTTGCTAATGAGGCAGGGAAATTGCCCTAAATTTAAAGCCAACCTGGACTAGATTGTACATGCGGGTTCAGCCGGAGCTACAGTGTGAAACTTTGTTGCAAAATAAACAAAAAAAAAAATAACAAAATCAAAACGCCAAAAACATTAACAAGGAAGGAAGACAGGCACCAGTAGGGTGAAATCCATGGAAGCTAAAGAATCTTTGGCTCTGCTGTTGGGAGGAGCCAATGGCAGGCACAGTGCTGGCAGGACCAGAATCCCCAAGCCTTGACTTGCCCATGGGCGCACCCATGGCTTGTTTGTTGCGATTTCTGCCTGGTCCGTGCTATCATCCAGCATCTGCATCACTCACTAGAGGTTTTCTCCTCTTTCCAGTATCCTATTATGTTGGAACGCTGGGAACTCACACTGAGATCAAGAGAGTGGCAGAAGAAAAGGTCACCCTGCCCTGTCACCACCAACTGGGGCTTCCTGAGAAAGACACCCTGGACATTGAATGGCTGCTCACGGATAGCGAAGGGAACCAAAAAGTGGTAAGTACCTTCCTAGTCACACTTGCTCTCCTCTCTGCCCGTCTTCGGTCTTCACATCTTTCTCACTGGGTCTGGAAGAGTTCGTTTTCTCATCTAACATCAACCTGAACGAATCCCCATACAACTCTAGAGAAAAGGACCCAGGCAGTACACAGTTAAAATCTTAGCACTCCGGAGGCATGGGCAAGAAGAACTCTAGTTTGAAGCTAACCTGGGCTACATAGTAAAACCCTGTCTCCGAAAAGAAAGGGGAAAATAGAGGAATATCTGTGTTGGGAGGGTAAGAGGGTCTTTGGGCTATGCAGGACTAATCCAACGGCACCAGGCACTGGGAAAGGGCATCTGTACTGTTAACATCTTCACCTAAGAAGGGGGCTAAGATGCCCTGGTCTAGTGAGCAGAACTCAAAGCCCAGAATTCTCTTCCTCCCGCTTCTCTGAAACCATCATTCCCTGACCAGGCCTTGGCTTGCAAAGTCATAACTTCCAGGTTCTGAAGATGACAAATGACATGTGACACAGAGAAGCACGAATGACAGATGTGACTGGCTCGTCAGCAAGACAGCAGATGCTGGCTCTGAAGTCGGAAAATAAAGAAGCAGTCACCGGGACTTCCACACTCAGTGGGCCGTGATGGGCTTGCTGTCCTGTGCTTCTGGCAGTGCAGGCAGAAGTTGTAGTGCTTGGACTCCTGGAGCACCTCATGCTGCCTGCTCTGATTCCTGGAGCACCTCATGCTGCCTGCTCTGATTCCTGGAGCATCTCATGCTGCCTGCTCAAACTCCTGGGACAACCCTGTGTTGCCTGCCATTAGACACCAGGACTAAGTAATCTACACTTCCCATCCTTTTCTGCCTTGGTTGCCTGCAGCCGGGCTCTTCCTCATTCAGATGCTTACCACTTAGCTATCCTCACTGACACGGTGACTTACCATTGCTCTTATTCACAGACGTACCTTTCTCTCAAGGCTCTGTGATTGAGGAAGATTGGAATAATGAACGAACAGGAAACCTAATTCTTTAGCAACCCCAGTCCGTCACGGTACTTGGGGGTGTGCTGCTGAGTTTTAAAATCCAGAATGTGTTCTGTTCTTACCAACCTCACTGACACATTATGTGGTATCGATGCTTTTTGTCTTGGTCTACACTAATAACTAAGGACCCATACCCATTGTGAGAGGTCCTGGCATTTCTCACCTGCTATCTGAGATGTGTAGCACGTCCCTTCATAAGGTGTCATCTTGCTGTGTGTCTGAAGCGGACTCCACTCCTCTGAACCCATCTTTGTCTTTAGAACTTACTATGTAAGCCGGGCGGTGATGGCACTCGCCTTTAATCCCAGCACTTGGGAGGCAGAAGCAGGATTTCTGAGTTCGAGAGTTCGAGGCTAGCCTGGTCTACAGAGTGAGTTCCAGGACAGCCAGGGCTACACAGAGAAACCCTGTCTCGAAAAACCAAACCAAAAAAAAAAAAAAAAAAAAAAAAGAACTTACTATGTAAATGACAAAGCATGTCCTACACCGCATTGGGCAGTTTTTTCATAAGCAGCAATATTCTTTAACTTTGGGTACAGTTACATTTCCATAAGCAAATGGGAACGGTCATAAACTAATACATTTAATATACCTATCCACTGAGTATCAAATCGAGACCCATCTGACCTTAAATATGTTCATAGTGTTTGTTTTCGCCTAGGGTTGAGCAAAATGGTCGAGCATAACGCCGCCTTTTGATTAATAGAGTGTCACATGTCTTATGTGAAATAAGATTTTAAGATTTTATTTTTTAAATCTATAATCAGAGGCTTTTAATCGTGCCTCCTTCTTCTAGAGTTTTGCTTCTCTCTCTCTCTCTCTCTCTCTCTCTCTCTCTCTCTCTCTCTCTGATTTAAAAGAAGAAAAGAAAGGAAGGCTGTCCTTTTCCTCAGAATGTCCCTGTTATTAATTTCATAGGATGAATTGAACTGGGAGAAGCTAAGGTTTCCACTAAAAATACATCTCAGGATCACGCTTGAGTTTTTAACCTGCCCACACGGCTGCCTGTGTCACCTTGTTGTGTGATTCTGCTTGTCATCTTGTCCTCTCATAGCACGTCCTCCAAAGGCGACCTGTTCTCCTCAGAGCAAGGTCACCTTAACCTGAATGTGTTTACTCGGAGAAGGCCCTGGTCAGTCGTAGACATGATAGTCTCAGCCCTGAATAGAGTAAGTGGATCTGTGTTCCTGGAAGAAAGCCAAAGATCAAGCCTGAAAAAGACTCTCTCTGGACCTTACTTGAGTTGGTCCTCCCGGGTTCTTCACGATCTGGGGCTGCCTTTTCTGTCCTGGTGGAATCCGTACTGAGTGAGAGTCCTGCCTGCTAGGACAGTTCCCACCTTCAGTATCTGCCCATCTTCAACATCAAACCACCGTGGTCCATGTTCAACACCAACCCTCTCGAGTCCATAGAGGTAGAAGCTCTCTTACCTCTGATGTTTCTTAATAATACAAGGTCCTACTTTACTCTTTAAATCTGACCCCTCTCCCTGACTCAAGGCTTGGTGGCACCAGTCCCTCCCAATGTCATTAGTCACCCAGTGGAATAGATGTTCCTGCCATATTTATCTTATCTCACTGGAATATTTCCTCTCCTGTCGAGTTCCTGTTTATCCCCACTCGCTCAGAGCACCCACAAACACGCATCTAACTTCTGCCCATAAGTTTTCATTTAAAGGAAAAGGGGGAGAAAAGAGCTTCTGTGTTATGAAGCTGAGCGACTCCAGGAGTGAGGAAGTTAATGTAGGCTTGAAACCACCACTCACGTGGCATCGTGCTGTCCCAGTTTCCAAACGTACCTTTGGTCACTAGGCGGGCATCATTTATTCAGTCATTCAGACCCTACAGATTTATTTAGCATTATACCATTCTAGGGGCCAAGATACAGCTGTGAGAGGGCTGTAATATCATTGCTTCCTGGGAGCACACCGTGAAAGGTGTCCAATAATTTGAAAGGAAAGAATCTAAGGGTGTAGTATACTTGATAAACCGCTTACCCAGAATACACAAAACCCTGGGTTCAACTCGCAGCATCAAATAAACTGAACATGGCAAGTGCACACATGCAATCCCAGCACCTGGGTAGAGATGGGACGATCCATGTTGAAGGTCGTCCTCACCTCAGCTACTTAGAGAGAAAGAGCTGTACAGTCTTTTCAATGACACGAGACCCTGTCTCCGTGAACAAAGAGTTAGTCATACCAGAAACCATAGCAATTTCAGCACATGGCGTTTTGGGGTTTTGTTTGTTTTGTTTTCTCTTTTAAAGACAAGCATTTTCACCTCTGACTGAAGGAAGACTTTTTACGTCTTCTCTTCAGCGTTTCCAAATTTTTCATCAGTTCTACAGTTGAATCTGCCAGTCAGGGTCCAGAACTTAAGTGCTACACTATCTGGACAGCCGTCTAAGAGCAAGCAGCCTTGTGCTAAGGGACTGCGTGAGTCCCCTACACAGCATGGACAGGCTGGATGGAGGCTCAGGCAGGATGGAATAGAACTTCAAAGGCTTTCTCACACTACCCAGAATGGCGCACATATTAAACGGTACATATTGTTTCTTTCTGGAATTTTCATTCAGTGGTTTTGGGCTGCAGTGAAACCCTAGAAAGTGAAACCAGAGATGAGAGGACTGTTATATAAAGCTGGAGCCACCCACCATGACTTGATGAAGGAGGAGGTCAAGGACAGTCCCCTTGTTTTTTTTTTTTTTTTTTTGAGACAGAGTCTTTCTGTGCAGCCCAGGGTGACCTACATCCACTTCTAAGAACGATAATATGATAGGTATTCACTACTACACCCAGTGTTTTTATTTTTGAGATAAGTCTTCAGTAGACTCAGTAGACTCAGGCTGGCTTTGGATTTGAGACTCTCTTTCCACAGCCTCCCAAGTATGTTAGAATTACAAGCATAGAGGACAACATTCAGCTTTAATCTTATTTTTGTTTGTTTGTTTGTTTGTTTTTGGTTTTTTGTTTTTCTTTCTTTCTTTTTTTTTTTTTTTGTTTTTTGTTTTTCGAGACAGGGTTTCTCTGTATAGTCCTGGCTGTCCTGGAACTGACTCTGTAGACCAGGCTGGCCTCGAACTCAGAAATCCGCCTGCCTCTGCCTCCCAAATGCTGGGATTAAAGGCGTGCGCCACCACTGCCCAACTTTCTTTTCTTTTTTCTAACTTTCATTTATTTTATGTGAGTACACTGTCGCTGTCTTCAGACCCGCCAGAAGAGGGCATCAGATCCCTTGCAACAGATGGTTGTGAGCCACCATGTAGTTGCTGGGAATTGAACTTGGGATCTCTAGAAGAGCAGTCAGTGCTCTTAACCGCTGAGCCATCTCTCCAGCCTCTTGGTTTAAGTCTTGATGGAAGGAAGAAGACACAGCAGCACAAGACACAAAGGCTAGGAATTCCTAAGCAGCTCAAGGGGCAAGGATTAAGAAGAAAGCCTGGGCCGGGCGGTGGTGGTGCATGCCTTTGATCCCAGCACTTGGGAGGCAAAGGCAGGCAGATTTCTGAGTTCGAGAGTTCGAGGCTAGCCTGGTCTACAGAGTGAGTTCCAGGACAGCCAGGGCTACACAGAGAAACCCTGTCTCGAAAAACCAAACCAAAAAAAAAAAAAAAAAGAAGAAGAAGAAGAAGAAGAAGGAAGCCTGTGGGGCTGGAGAGGTGACTCAGCAGTTAGAGCTCAGGCTGCTCTTCCAGAGGTCCTGAATTCAAGTCCCTGCAACCACGTGGTGGCTCACAGCCATCTACTGTAGGATCCGATGCCTTCTCATGGCATGCAGCTGTGCAGGCAGGCATACATGCAGACAGAACACTCGTACATGAGTAAATAGAATTGAAAAAAACAAAAACACAAAAATCCCAAAGATGGAAGCCTGTATAGGCTTCCGGACCTGAATGTGGATGCTCTTCCAGCCATACTAGGACAGTTTAAAACTGTTCCTGTATTAGTCATGGGGTTTGAGAAAGAT